CAATTTTATCAACAGGGTTACTTTAAAATACCTGTAACCTCGCAGCACTAAAACTAACATCATACACAACGTTTGTTGAAAAATTGTTATTTTTTTCATACATAAATAAATATTAAATTACCGCTCGCATGTTATTAACTCTACAGACCCGTGGGAATCGGGGGTTGAGAAGGCGCGAGGGGAGGGGAGGGGGGGGGGGCAGTACTTGATTGACCCATTTATCTACTTCTGTTCCGCTAGTCGGCCGGCCTATGCGCACTTCCTTGTATGCAAAAATTTTTCGTCATCTTTATTACGCCTGCATTAAACTCGGTGTTAGTATTTATTTTATTTTCATTTATTTATTTATCTTATAAACAATAAAGTTTTTATTATAATACTTAAAACCCTTTTAGTAACTTTAAATTGTTTTCACATATTTTGGACATTAAAATACCTTAGTGTTCGATTTCGATTGTTTATTGTAGAGCTAGTAAAGTATGAAGGGATTGTGATTCAGTGTACCTCGCGTAGCTTGTATAGCTACTCGAGATTTACAATAGAATTACAATCTAAATCAAATTGTAAAATAATAATTAGTGCTTTCCCATATGCACATAACTTATCTAGGGAACAGAACAAGCGCATCTTTAATTTAAATTTAAGTATTTATAATTTAATTAATAGTCATAGTGACATATGTTTATATTTCGATATAAATAAATATATTAGATATTTTAAGTTGACTACAGATACTATGTATCTCGCAAAGAGATTTAGGACCCAGATAGCTAATTTTTTAGCTTTTAATATACAAAATACGGTTATACATGGTATAACTAACCCTATTCAACAAAATAGTGTTAGTATTTCTAGTAAAAGAAATATTAACTCTATTAACAATTTAACCAGCCCAGTTTTAAACTGAGCTTAAAGACAACAGCCAAACCTAATAAAAGCATTATTAATAGCCTAGAATTAGAATTGTATTCGAAAAGTGAGGACATACACATTATATATTTAACGGAACACTGGCTCAAGTTTTGTGAAATGTCTGATCACATAAACAATTTTCAGTTGTTGAGTGCTTATGTTCGAAAGACAGCCATACACGGCGGCACATTGATTTTTGTCAACAAAAATATTAGATGTAAGGATAGAAAGGATATAGCTGGCCTTTCAATTGAACGTAGCATTGAGCTATCTTGTGTGGAACTAAATAAGATGATAATAGTATGCGTATACCGACCCCCTGTAGGTAACTTTAACATTTTTGAATCTGTAATGGAGGATGTACTGAAAGTTAAAGTCAAAAAATAAGTTTTTGGTTGTTTGCGGTGACTTTAATATTAATATTCTTGAACAAAATTCAATGTCAGTACGTATTATATCACTATTTAAATGTTTTAATTTGATCCATCAATTTTTTGAGCCGACTAGGGTGACATCACATTCGGCAACTTGTTTGGATAATGTATTTACAGATAGTACTCCTGATAGTAAGTCTATTTTTAATAGTATTACATCTGACCATTATGGCTTAAAAAAACAATATAAAATAGATGTAAAAAATGAAACCAAAGTGATTGAATTGAGACCAGTAACAGAAAATAGGTTAGAAAATTTTCAAAAAAACATTGATGATAGGATTTCTCATATCCCATGGACACATGATGATCCTGATATTCTTTTTGCGAATCTTTTTAATCTAATAAGGAATGAATTCGATAAGGCTTTTCCCTTAAAAACTTCGAAACTTACTCAGAAGTTACAGTTCTGTGATTGGGCTACGACTGGTATCTATAAAAGTAGAAACAAACTTTATGAATTGTATCATCTGAGAAAATATAATCATTCACAAAGTTTTATTGATTACGTTAAATGTTATTCTAAAACCTTCAAAAAGGTATGTGCAACAGCCAAATCTAATATTATTAAAAATAAAATATGTAAATCGAATAATAAAATCAAAACAACGTGGAATGTTATAAATCGTGAAACAGACAAAGAAAAGCCACGTGACGATATTATTGCACTTAAGTCCAATAACATTCTAATAAAATCTAAGGAACATATCGCTAATATTTTAGATGATTATTTCGTTAATGTTCCTTTGGTGGCTACATCTGATTTGTGCTCTTCAACGGTGGCTGCCAAGACATTGCTCGAGAAATATGTACCTAAGTGTGATAACGTGTTTCAGTTTAGACATATTAGTTTTATTGATGTTATTAAGTGTTTTAAATCTCTTAAACAAAGAAATACAAGTGATTTATGGGGTATTTCTACTAAAGTTATTAAAAGTATAATACCCGTTATTGCCCCTTATCTAGTTGATATATTTAATAACTGTATTGATCAAGGCGTATTTCCGAATTTGATGAAATACAGTAAAGTTATACCTCTTTTTAAATCAGGAAATTGAAGTGAACCTGAAAATTATAGGCCTATATCAATATTACCGGTTCTAAGTAAAATATTTGAGAAAAATATTCTGGAACAATTAATGCCTCATTTCAACCTAAATAAACTTTTGCATAGGAAACAATTTGGTTTTACCAGAGGTAGATCTACTACTGACGCGGGTGTTGCACTTGTAAGGAGTTTATTGGAGGCTTGGGAGGGGTCCCAGAATGTTCTTGGAGTGTTCTGTGACTTATCCAAAGCTTTTGATTGCGTTGATCATCACACGCTGTTATTGAAATAAAGTATGGAGTCAAAGGTACTGCATATAAATTAATACAGTCGTATCTCAGTTCCAGAATTCAAACTGTAGAGGTAAATGGTGTTAGATCATCTGGATCTCATGTGGAAATGGGCGTTCCCCAGGGTTCAATTTTGGGTCCCTTTCTGTTTCTAGTATATATAAATGATTTGCCATTTTTTGTAGAAAATTTGTGTGAGATAGTATTATTTGCTGATGACACATCTTTATTATTTAACGTTGACAGGCGCAAGAACAACTATGACGATATTAATAATGCTCTCTCGCAAGTTTTGCAATGGTTTAATGTTAATAATCTAAATCTAAATGCTAATAAAACCAAGTGTATTAAATTTTCATTACCTAATGTAAAAGTTGAACATATTGAAATTAAATTAAATAATAATAAATTAGATTTAGTAGACTCAACTACATTCTTGGGTGTAACTATAGACTCAAAACTGCAATGGAATCATCACATTACGCTTTTGGCAATAAGAAAGATAAGACAACTTACTGATACAGAAACTGCCAGGACTGTATATTTTAGTTACTTTCATAGTATCTTATCATACGGCATTATACTCTGGGGAACAGCAGCTGATATTGAAAGTATATTCATTCTACAAAAAAGAGCTGTGAGATCTATCTATCAATTGAGTAGCCGAACATCTCCTAGAGAAAAATTTTAAGAAATTGGCATTTTGGCTGTTGCTTCTCAATTCATTTACAATTGTATACTCCTCGTTAAAAATAATATCAATTTGTATACCAAAAACAGTAACGTGCATAATTTTAACACAAGGAATAGAAATAAGCTTGCATTGCCACCCTACAGGTTACAGAAGGTTTACCGATCTTTTATGGGTCAAGGTATACATTTTTATAATAAAATTCCTGATGCCATTCTTGAGTTACCCATAAATGAGTTCAAATGTCACATTAAAAATTGTTTACTTAAGAAAGGCTATTATACTATTAAAGAATACTTGAATGACAAAACTGCATGGCTGTAACTGTAAATTTGTTTTGTATTTGTTTGCAGTGTCGTACAGATAAATAACCTGAATTCTAAGTAACTATTTTAGTTGGTTTGAGTGGTTATGGGTAGTCATGCTCTCTTAAAAATCTCTTCGGCGGTGTCGTGTGAGGCGGGTCGTTGCGTTCCCTACAATATGGTTGAGCGAAACGATGGCTGGTTCATGCGTCATGCTCGTGAACGGGTGCTGCCAGCGGAGATGAGTCTGCTCTATACTACTTTATTATTATTATAATGATAATTAATTATTGAATTTTTTACTACTTTATGGCACAGCAATCAAAATCAAAATTTAGGTGAACATTTATTATTTCTGAGATAAAGATTTAATGGTGGTGTGGATTCTGGCATGGTTCTCTAGACCTGAACTTTGGTTTTGCAGCGGTGTATCCTTGTCATTCTCTATACAGAGTGAAGGGGGCACTGATGTTGGGTTTAGTTTTGGGTTTGGAGGGTAGTGGCAGAGTCGACACTAGTGTTTAGGTAACCACATGCATGTGTCCTACAGTTGTGTTTATAGTTTTTTATAGTAATGTACACTGGTACTTAATTTTTTTTCCCCTATTTTGCTATCTGGTATCCATATGTGGTTATGAGTAGTCATACTCTCTTAAAAATCTCTTCGGCGGTGTCGTTGCGTTCCCTAAAAAATGGCTGAGCGAAGCGATGGCTGGTTCATGCATCATGCTCGTGAACGGGTGCTGCCAGCGGAGATGAGTCTGCTCTTGCTACATTGGGTACTATTAATCGTTGTATTTAACTTTAATGGTACATTTGTTTTTATGCCTAAACAGTGGGACACGGCATTCCTAAACTTTTTTCATTTTTAAATCTGTTTTTTATATTTTTTATTTTATAGTCATAATTGTTTTATCATTTACATTTGTAATGAAAAGTGACTTCATGGGTTATCTCATATTGAACTCATTTTTCAAATTGACGACTCTGTATATAATACAGGGAGAAAAAAACAGCCCTTGCTGAGTTTCTTGCCGGTTCTTCTCAGTACAAGGTCTCCCGCCGTAGATTTGCGAACCGATGGCGTAGCTTTTCGACATTCACAAGTGCTTGTAACAGCCTAGACTGAATAAACGATATTGAATTTCGATTTTTTTTGAATTGAGAAATAACTACACTGGTGGTCGTATAATTAGAAACACTACCAATAGTCCTTGACATTATGTAAAATACTTCACCGCAATCGTTTTTATTTTGAAATTAATAAATAATAAATAAATAAACTAATTAGAAACGACAACAAGAAAGTATTAAAAACATTTTTTATAAGTATTAGTAATTAGTATTGATATTTACGAAATAGCTACTATCCACAAGTCTATCAATAGTTATAATTAATATTAAGTGGCGTTTCCTTTATTTCCAATAACAGCACTGCAACGAAGTGGCATTGATTCTAGAGGGATTGAATTTCATGCTTCAACAAGTGCTTCATATAGTTTAATTCAATTCTTCATGTAGTTCGTTTTGAAACATTTGACGCTATTGACCGTGTGTTTAGGGTCATTGTCATGCTGAAAGATCCAGGTTACAAGCAAATTATTGTTCGAGTAAGGGAATCATTGTGTGTGTTCTCTAAGATATTTTTGTATTGCCATTGATCCACTGCACCTTCAATCTTCCGAACGGGTCATACTCTACATCCGGTAAAACACCCCCAAACTTTAATGTTACCGCTACATGTGTAAGACTCATTTTGTAATTAAAGATATGTTTTATATTTTATGCATTTAATGAGTTTTTTACTTGATATATATTTATTACGAACATTTGAACGATGAAGTTATACTTTCTTTATTCATAATAAGTGTTTCTAATTAAATGACCACCACTGTATGTAAGTAAGTATCTGGTAAAGAAATAATATTAAAAATATTATTGGATAGCGCGCGAACGTTGTTCTTTTGATTGTCTGAAATAAGCATAGACATATAGGTAAATGCGTGACATTTAGATTAGATTTATAGATTTAGACGTATGAATGTCACGACAGTTTATCAAAAATTTAGATTTTTTTTATTGATCAAAGTACTGAGCAACCTTTGTTGTGTATGATGTTAGCTATTTAGTCCTGCCAGGTTTCTGGTGTTTTATAAGTAACCCTGGATAACATGATCTATTGCATTGAAAACAAAGGTCAAATTTCAAAAAACTTTGATCCATTTATGTATAATTTACTAGTTATTAGAAGATCCTAAGTGCAATTACGCATTCTTTTCAAAAGAAAACTTGATTTGACATTTTTAAGTGAATTATCGTGCAAGTGGGTCGTGAATCAATTTGTTCAATAGTACCTCGTACGATTTGACAGTATATAACTTTTAGGAGTAAAATACTTAGACGACTTCTATGAAATTCCTGCAAAATAAATAATATTTTTGTTAACGCCATTCATTCGCACTACTTATCTGTTTTTATACTTTTGTACAGTTCTGAGATTATTGATTGCACTTTTAAATTTAGGATCTATTTTCAATGCATTCTTATACATCACTTCAGCCAAATTGTATTTTTTCCACCGATGATAAAGTACGCCTAAAATGAAAAAAAAAAGAATTTAATGAGAGGCAAGTAGTAATCTTTGGAAATGGGAGATTTTGGGTTAGATGGTTATTCTAGGTTATTGATATACACACGTAAAATTTGCAAAAGAATCTAAGCAAAAAATATTTTACCTAAATTAGAGTAATGTATGGCTTGCACTTTGGAGTTGAAAAGTTTAATAGCTTTCAAGAAATATCTTTCAGCTTCTTCGAACCGGTCCACTTTCCCATAAATGTTTGCTACGGCGAAGTTGATCGATGGCGAGTCGGCTAGCTCGGTTAAAGCCGTCGGTATTAATTCTAAAGCTCGATCAAGTTGTTCTGTAATGAATACAAGTACAATAAGAACAATAATATTTAATAGGAAAGGCAGGAAAATGGGATTTAAGAACTGCTCGTCTGTTGAAGCAAACTGCACCTTATAGATGATTGCAGCTATACCATTAACTGTTTAATACTTGAGAAATGAATTATATTTTTTTTTGTTTTTCTAAATTCTCTTTAAAGCCAATCATTCGAGTTCATAAAAAGTGGTACTTATATTATAATATTGAAAAAAGCAGTAAAATATATTAAAACGACAACAGTACGCAGCATGTTTCATTTACAGTTCTTATTATATTATGGTTAGGTTGTAGATGAAATATAGGTAGACTTCGAGTCTTAGTTCAATTCAAACACGTCACTTTGAATATACACTTTAATTTACCTAATCCAATTTTTACAGTCACAGAAGGGCTAAGTAACACACTGGATTAATGAATGGCAGGTCTTACAACTATTTATAATGTAGAACATACGCAATAACCATAGGTTTGAGTAGTCCGAACGGAGCGCAAACAGTCATGCACTCGCCGTGAGATTGAGATACAGACTGGTGCGCGCGGCTACTGAACGGCCGGCGCAGGAGTCGGTTACGCGAACAAAAGAATTTAACTAGGAACTCGTTTAGAGTGCGCGTGTCCATTCCGAACTTACGACAAATTGGCACGTCATTATAAATAGATATTTAATATGGTAATTTAATGTTTTTGTGAATATTTGTTTATATATAATATAATTATGTATATTTAATATGTATAATATTTTGTTATATATGATATGTTATTTATAATTATGTACATTATGTTTATTTATTAGTATATGTGGAAAATAATATAATGTTGCCACATCACTCCCCCCCAAAGGCCTGGTTAGGGACGATAAAAATCTGGAAAACGCACATGTCTTCCAGAACGTGTTGTTCGATACATATTTGTAGGTGTTGGAGGAATGTGTGGTGACGATTCTGTTACCTTATTTTGCGGTGTTGATTTTGGTGAGGAAATATCAGCATCATCGTCATCCACCAATATAAAAGCAGGTTTTAGGCGATCAATGCTGACGGTTACCTTATTAACTTTGATAAATATTTTAAATGTCTTATCATTGCGTGCTAAAACTTTATGAGGGCTAGAGTATGCTGGTTGAAAGGGAGCCCGCGAAGCATCTTCACGGAGGAAGACATGGTCCGCGGTGGCTAGCTCTTTGAAAATAAATACTCTGCCCTTGTGATGACGAGAAGCTGCTATTGGTTGCAATTTCTCAGCGTAAGAACGCAGCCTTGCGGTGAAATCTGACAAGTCAGTGGTACCGCTTGAACTGGGGTTGAAGAATTCGCCAGGAAGTCTGAGAGGCTCGCCATACAGTAACTCAGCTGAGGAAGCCTGCAAGTCATCCTTAAAAGCAGTTCGGACGCCCAAGAGCACTAATGGAAGGGATTCTGTCCAGTTAACATCGGCGTGGCAAGTAATAGCTGCTTTGAGTTGCCTATGAAAGCGCTCGACAAGTCCGTTGCATGCGGGGTGATATGCAGTAGTGCGTTTATGCTGGAACCCTACAAATTTCGCAAGACACTGGAACAATGCGGACTCAAATTGTCGACCGCGATCTGTAACGATGTCTATAGGACATCCGAATCTAGATATCCAGCTGGTAATAAGAGACTTCGCTACAGTCTCAGCAGTAATGTCCATAATTGGACAGACTTCAGGCCACCTGGTAAATCGATCGACGGCTGTCAAACAGTAGCGGTAGCCGTTCGAAATCGGGAGAGGGCCTATTAAGTCAATGTGGACATGTTTAAATCTGGCTCGCGGCAGGTTAAAATTACCTATAGGCGCAGAGACATGTCGTGTTACTTTTGCCCGCTGACACTGTAGACAACCACGTGTCCACTCTCTGACGTCTTTTCGGACTCCGGGCCAAACAAATCGCTGAGCTACTAATTGAGCAGTCGTATTGGCCCCTGGATGGCTAAGAGAGTGAAGACTGTGAAAAACTTGCTTGCGAAATTGTTTTGTAACGAATGGCCTGGGTGCCGATGTACTGACATCGCAGTACAGAAGCGTACGACTCCCAGGAACGGTAATTTGTTGCAAGCGGATGGAAGAAGAATTAGCCAGGTACTCAGCCAGATCAGGATCAGACGATTGCGATCGAGCCAAATCCTCTAGACAGATTGGAGCTTCCAGTGCTTCGACGCGAGATAAAGCATCGGCAACGACATTGTCCTTACCGGCAATGTGCTTTATGTCGGTCGTAAACTGTGAGATATAGTCCAAGTGTCTGTGCTGGCGGGGTGAACAGTTGTGTTTTCGATCACTAAAAGCGTAAGTGAGGGGTTTGTGGTCCGTAAACACTGTGAAGTGCCTCGCCTCCAGCATGTGGCGAAAGTACTTGATGGCCTCATAGATAGCGAGAAGCTCTCGATCGTATGGTGAGTATTTCGCTTGAGCTGGACTCAGTTTCCGAGAGAAGAAAGCTAATGGCTGCCACTTACCTTCGCTCAGCTGTTGAAGTACAGCTCCCATGGCTAAGTCTGACGCATCAGTCACCAATGCTAACTTGCCTCGGCAATCAGGATGGGCCAGCATTGCAGCATTGAGTAGGCTTTCCTTGGTGTCTTGGAAAGCCTTCAGAGCATCGCCGTTTAAATCAATGGGAGTTGAACCTTTGACTGTACCGGTAAGAAGCTTATTGAGGGGAGCCTAGGTAAGAGCTGCGTTTGGCAAAAAACGACGATAAAAGTTCGCCATGCCCAAGAAACCTCTTAACTGCTTGACAGTCTTTGATGATGGGAAGTTACGGATAGCTTCTACCTTAGTGTCCAAGGGTTTGGTACCGCTCTCCGAAATGCGATAACCTAGAAAGGTTACCTCGGGAACTCCAAATACGCACTTGGATACGTTAATTACCATACCGTACTTCCTTAGTCTAGTGAACAGTAGCCGTAAGTGATGTTCGTGCTCCGGCTGACTTATAGAAAAGACTAGAAAGTCATCACAGTAGCAGTATACGAAGTCCAGCCCGCGCGTCATCTCATCGACGAATCGCTGAAATGTTTGGCCTGCATTGCGCAGACCAAATGTCATAAATGGGAATTCGTACATACCAAATGGGGTGGTGATAGCCGTCTTGGGTATATCCTCTGGACAAACAGGAATTTGGTTATACGCCTTCACGAGATCTATAGTGCTAAATATTTTACAGCCAGCAATTGAATAAGCAAAATCGTGAAGGTGTCTAATTGGATATCTGTCGGGGATGGTCCTTGAGTTGAGTCGTCTGTAATCCCCACAGGGCCTCCAGCCGTTATCTTTCTTGGGGGCCAGGTGAAGAGGTGACGACCAGGGACTATCAGAGGGTCTCGCTGTACCATCAGCAAGCATGGCCTCAAATTCTTGCTTAGCCACTTTCAGCTTATCTGGAGCCAGCCGTCTTGGTGTGCTTGTAACAGGAGGACCTGGTGTGGTACGAATGTGGTGTTGTGTGTGGTGTGTTATGTTACGGTGAGTGCCAGCTGGTCGCGTTATATCAGGAAATTCCTGATTAAGCAAGCTATGAAAGCGAGATTCACCGGTCAATATTTTTACAGAACTCACACAATTAAAAGGTGCAAACAAAGCAGAAGCAGAAAGGCTAGTGGTATTGTCTATAAGCTTTTGATTTCTACAATCGACAACTAAATTATAAAAAGCTAGGAAATCTACTCCTACAATAGGCTTTGTGACATTAGCAACAATAAAGCGCCAAGGGTAAGATCTACGTAAATTAAAATCTAAATTTAAATGGTAGTAACCGTAGGTGTCGATGGTCGTCCCGTTGGCCGCGCAAAGCTTGTAGGAAGTAGGTGCACGACGCTCACTTAACAGAGTCCGGGGGAAGACACATAGATCGCTGCCAGTATCTATCAAAAATTGTATCTTCGACCTTCTGTCGGTGACGAACAGGCGACCAGAGGTTGGGCTATCAGCTGTCGCCATTACCGACTGCCCTTTGCGTTTCCCGACTTCTCGAAATCACAAGGTTTGATACATTTGTGAGCCTTGTCTCCGTGTTTTGAGTGGTACCAGCAGGTAGGGTACTTCCGGTACGAAGATGGTAGTTGACTGGTCGCGGCGATCACGACGACGACTGCGGGATCGCGGTCTTCTATCTCCGGTAGGCATATTTTTGATCAGGCGACGCAATTCCGAGATTTCTCTAGCCATGGCATCCATTCTCGATCCATAGTCGTGACTTGTCGATGCAACTTGTGGTGTTGAAGGGACGATATCGTGGATGCGGTCGGCGAGATCGGCAAGGGTCTCCAGTTCTGCGGTCGGTTGTGCAGCCAGGACAGTCTGGATGTTTCCGGGAAGGCGGCTTGTCCAAATTGTACGAAGAAAATCGTCCGTAATCTGGTGACCAGCGAGGCTTTGGAGATGACGGAGAAACTGTGAAGGTTTGCGGTCCCCAAGTTCTTCGTGCAAGAGAAGCTGTTGCACTTTCTTCTCCTTGGAGGCGCTAAGGCGTTTAATAAGCTCCGTCTTCAATTTTTCGTAACGGTCACTAGATGGAGGTTTCGCAAAAATGTCTTTGACCTAGTATAAAAATTGACGATCCAGTTGTCCAATGACGTAATGAAATTTCGTCAGGTCATTAGTAATTCCGGCGATCTGGAACTGTCCCTCAATTTGCGAAAACCATATTTCCGGTTCCTCCGGCCAAAAAGGTGGAATTCGGACTCCGACTTTAAAAATGTCGGATGGTGTTGTGGAAATGCGCTCACTGACGTCGCGTTCGACATCGCCACTGCCGTTCGCCATCTTAGTACGTGTATTCTTGATTTAATAAAATATTACGTACTTTTATCACCAGCGCTGATAACTGTGTCCAAATAGGGTCACCACTATGGTTAGGTTGTAGATGAAATATAGGTAGACGTCGAGTCTTAGTTCAATTCAAACACGTCACTTTGAATATTCACTTTAATTTACCTAATCCAATTTTTACAGTCACAGAAGGGCTAAGTAACACACTGGATTAATGAATGGCAGGTCTTACAACTATTTATAATGTAGAACATACGCAATAACCATAGGTTTGAGTAGTCCGAACGGAGCGCAAACAGTCATGCATTCGCCGTGAGATTGAGATACAGACTGGTGCGCGCCAGTGTTTCCACTTTAATGATTTCCTTTCCCCACGCCTCAATTCAGATTTCCCCTTCTTACGACATCTTTCCCCTCAAAAAATATTCTGCTGTAGTTTTTAGATTTGGCAATAGTGTAGTAACTAAAGAAAAAAAAGGTCTTAATCTATCTTATTCTATAACAGATATATATAAAATCTGCACGTGTTGCCACAGTTTCTTTTATACGGCAACACTATAGTCCACGGTATAGTCCATAAAAAAATATTTCCGTGCCGCATTATTTTAGGCTAGGCTTTACCCATAATTTCCCGCAATTTCCCCTTTTCATGTCTTTCCCCCTTTTCTTCCCCTCGGGACCCTAATTTCCCCTTAAAAGGGGAATTTCCCCTCATTGTGGAAACACTGGTGCGCGCGGCTACTGAACGGCCGGCGCAGGAGTCGGTTACGCGAACAAAAGAATTTAACTAGGAACTCGTTTAGAGTGCGCGTGTCCATTCCGAACTTACGACAAATTGGCACGTCATTATAAATAGATATTTAATATGGTAATTTAATGTTTTTGTGAATATTTGTTTATATATAATATAATTATGTATATTATGTTTATTTATTAGTATATGTGGAAAATAATATAATGTTGCCACAATATTTAATTTTATCAAATATTAAAATATCAAGCTATTTCATGTAACATCAAATATGATTAAATGATGTGTTATGGCGGCCTACCTCATGGCCATTCGTATTTGCTATTCGTAAAATGGAAAAAGTATGAAAAGGATAAACCGCTGACAAAATGACATAATATAGCAAATACGATTAGCCATGTGGAGTGCCATTGCCACTCACATGTTTCATTGCCCAATTGAGGAATTCAAAAATCAAACTTTATATTAGAGTGCGGCTAACGAATGAATGCGATCCTGACAGGTCGTGTCAGTTCCTTATGTCGAGAATAAAGTTTACCTACACTAAGTATTAAGTAATGTGTGCTTACCAACGATATTAAATGCCCTAGATACACCAACACGAATAAAATCGTGCCCGAAACTTGGCCAAAAGGTATATCAGACGATCCACGGAGCTCCGTAAGATGATCGTGTAGTCGAAAACAAATTAAGACATTAATTAAACATTGAAAGTTACTTTAATGCATACTGTATAAGGTCTTAATCAAAATTATGACTGTTCGAAATGCGAGCTCATAAAATTTACGACTTACTGCTATATGCGGAAGTTATAGGCCTTATTTCTTTGACTCTATGCGCAGTTCTGAATGCGCCGTTCATAATATAGCAGCTAAGGACCGCTATATTACCGACCATGCGTTTGAATATCACAAATATTTTATATAAAATCAGTTTATAGTAAGTATTATAACAAAATTTGCTTCAAATACGTTAAATTAACAAACACTGATTAGACACCTGTCGAAAAAACGACACTTTGCGTAAGGTACTATAAGTATATTTTTCGCATTATTTCACGGAGATCTGCGGCAACTTGCCTTTTCAACGGTCCGCGCGTGACTGTGAATCAAGAAATGCTTGAGTGGTGTGCAAGCACTTCTTGATTGGGACATATTTTCAGCGCACGTGGTGTATCTAGGGTATTTAATATCGTAGGTGCTTACACTAAAGACCTTTGGTAAAAAAGAGGTCCGAAAATTAACTCTAAATGACAATGACAGATTCTGACCCATCATATACAGTAATATTAAATTTATGAAAAACTATATACGGCTTTGTTTCTCGTACCGATTTAATTATTACTTTGTAAAAGCGGCGGATACGAAATAAATATTAAAATAATTTGTATCCACTGTTTCCGTTAGGAGAAGAACGAAAACATGGCATATGCGTTTTGTTTCACGACAAACAACAAAAAGCCAGTCAAGTTTTCGAAAAATATCATTCTCTTTTTAATATTATGGATAAAATAAGCATTTCGGTTATAAATATAATTAATTTATGTTTATAAAAAAGTTTAACGATTATAGTACCTTGTATTTTTTATGCGCATACACATTATTAAGTACCTATGTGAAACTAAACGTTATTCTGGATTGATATCCTTTTGATTGACATTTCTGTCAAACAAAAGGATTTGTACGACATTGTCGTTTGTGATTTGGAACCATGTTGAGATGCATAAATTGTTATTTTGTATTCTACAAAGGCATGTCGTTTATACACTATCAGCTAGAATACGTACACTGTTGAATAATTTATAGAAATTCCAATTTTCTGCTCAAATTGCAGCTCGAGAAACGCATGATAATTGTACTCTTTGTAAGTATATTATTCAATAACCACAGCTTCTAGAGAATTTAGAACTTTACTATTTTGATTCCTAATATTACAGCTATGAAATGTCATTTATCGCATTCGTGTACACCATTTTTATCGGGTGGGTTAAACCTCTATAGAACTTCTGGCATTGTCCTTTGTCGCCACAAGGAACCGATAAGACATGTCAGCATTGCATTCTTTCGTTGGCCGCACTTGATGTTTCATCCAATGTTGCCATTTTAGATGGGCACCACAAAATGTCAAATGCCTGCAATCAATAACGATTAAATTACGCTTAAAACCTTCTGTCTTATTCATAAAAAGATAAAATAGGTTTATTAGCGTGTTATAATAAGAATCCCGAAAAGCATTATTCATAAACGTCAAATAACACTAAAAAGCATAGTAAGTATTCAATAGCGGCTTCGTAACTTATAACAGGGTCGACCCTACTATAAACCTTTAATACAGAGAAATATGGCCGACAAATGTGCAACTACTGATTTTTTTTTTGCGTTCGAACCGTTTGTTTTCGTCGTTTGTTCGTTCGTGTGGTTATTTACAAGGAGCTGGGAAGTAGAGATATTTTTTTATAAAATTGTTTGGTGATATCGTTAGCTATGCAAGCTCTGCAAGAATTACAAGCTATTGAACGAGCAGAAAATGATTTTTTCACGACGTCGAAAGCTTAACCAGTAGAGATGTGATCCGTTTTCTTTACCAGATATAGAGTTCAAACGACGATACCGTTTCAACAAAAATACCATGGCCCTTATTTTTGATCTCGTCAGGCAAGTCTTGCAACTGGACTTCAGAGGTTGAGGAACGTCACCAGAGTTGCAGGTGTTAACCGCTATACGATGTTGGGATCGTCGTAAAGTAAGCACGTTTACGAGTATTTTATAAATAAAAATATAATAATACGGGATATATATATCCCGCATTTTAATATACCTATGTACTTTTTAAATATCTTTGTAACATTTTAGATTCAAGATGATGGGGAAGAAATTCATGGTATGTCTCAACCAACTGTGAGTCGCATTTGTGCCAGAGTAGCCTGCGCGTTTTCTTCGCAAAAATAACACGAAAATCCTCTGCACGAAACAAGCAATATTGACAAATAAATATCATAGTGTGACATAGTGACGTTGTCAATTTTTTTTGCCGTGGATACCAGTGGTTTCGCCATTTTAATCTATGGATTCATCAGAATGACAACATAACAACGCTAAAGTGTCTTATAACGAGAACATATAGTAATAAAGGGTTTATTGAACGTTTATGAATAGAGAATTTTATAAAAGGTTTATTAGTACTAATGGGCATTTTAACTAATTAGTGTTTTAAACCTATTTAAGAGGATTTTCATGAATAAGGCTGTTAACCAAGGATATAAGGTTGAAAACCGACTACAAAATTTCGACAGTTTTGTAGTCTTAATCTGAGAAGCTTTAGTAAAGTATGAACATACCTGTATTGTCTAACAATGCGATTGTGTTCGTCCATGCTAAGACATGCCTTTGATCTAAATTAATCGCTTTTAAAAAGTTTTCTAATGCATCACTCTCCCTGTTCATTTCTAAATACTGAAATGGAATCATATTACAGTTGCATAAATATTAAGAACTCATTAATGTACATCATAGAAACGGCAATAAATTTGAAGATTTAAAAATGCAAATTTGAAGAATGGCGTAATTTTTATATTGAAGTACGGACTACAACACCTCAGGTCGCAGTCAGATTTGAGCTTTAAATACAACCACTAAGGTTGAAAATAGATTAAATATAAATATAGAACTTTAAGTTTTGTTTAGTATGGGGAACAGTTAAGCCTATCTATCTACATACATAGTACAAAATAATAATCCGACAAAATTTTCATCTGGTCTGATTTTCAAGTCTGTCATAAATTGAGGTAGGTAACAACTTTCAATGTTATTATTTTAAACGCCTCCAGGAAAAGATATCGCGATGCTAAATTTGCATCTTATATTTTATGAATTGTATTGTTTATGTACTGTAGTAGTTTAGCGTGTTTTCAAGAGTGAAAATAAAGTAGATGGGGGTTCAGGTTTATATAAAACTGATGCCCACCCACACTTGAGCCTGCTAAAAAGAAGGTAAGGACAAGATAAGGCCAAAACTAACTTTAGTCCGCGTTTTGGAATAAGGTGACATATTATTATTAGGTGTTGTAGGTATTTTTATGATAAATAATTTTCTACTTCTAGTTTTAAGGAAATAATGTCAAGCATGTGCGAAAGTAGCTTTTACTAAAGCATTATTATCTAAAAAATATGATCAAAAGTAGCATATTATATACTAATAAAAACAAAATTCTTTATGGTAACATAGCAGTCAATGCATTCACAGGGATAGCGAGAGATGCAGGTGCGATTCTAGCCTGTTACCTGGACCGAATTAATTTTTTACTTGTAATACTTTTTCTTATATAGGGTGAAATTGAATGTTTCTATGAAACTTCGTGAGATTGTTGGGTTATGTGTATAGAGTATGCCTGTTTTTTCCGAATTTTTTTGAAGTATATTTTTTTCATGTATTTATTTATAATTTGTGTATTTTTATGTCCTTTCCTCCTTTTGAGTAGTTAATTAAACGAGGCAACTAACATTAACAATAAAAAAGAAGTTCTTACACTAACAGACAGGCTTTACCGATTTAAAATCGTGACAGTCATATTAACTTTATAGGATTTTTAATTGCTCTAACAGAAGATTTATTTTATTGATTAATTACCTGTGCTTTATGAAACAATATTCAAAGGTATTATATGTATCAGTGAATAAATAATTATAATATAGCATCTAAGACTATTTTATTGTAATGTTTTTAAATAGTGTGGATCAAAGCGGAGAGTAGGTAAGTACCGAGTCATCTGTGCGTGTAGTAGGTACCTATACAGGCGGCCGCGGTCGTCGCCTCGACCGGCGCTGATCTCGACTGGAGGCATAATGAAGGCATTCATTAAGTTTCCGTTTTTTTAGTAGTGCTTATTTTAAGTTGCTTTATAGCTTCTATGTAGACGTGTTTAAAATGAATAATTACTCATAAGGAAGAAATGACAAAAAAATAACCAAATAAAAAATTAAAAAACGAAATATTTTATTTTAAAAAATCCGAAAAAAATCATGCATACTCTATACACATAACCCAACAATCTCACGAAGTTTCATAGAAACATTCAATTTCACCCCGTATATTGAAATCTATTAATGCCTATATTATAATGAAATATTACCAGATTTCCCAAATTGTAATAGCAGTCTGGATAGCTCTTTCGGTATTGTAGTGCTGTCATGTAAGCTTGTTCCGATTCGTTTAAGCGATTGGTGCTTGCAAGCACAATACCCAAATTCATCCATGCTGCTGGGAAATCTTTTCTGCGAGGCAAAGAAAACAATTTTATCAAAACAGGTGAAGTTGAGAATATCATGTAAGTATTCTAGGTTCTAGGCTTCTTTTTCTGTAAAAACTAGAACTTAATTTTGCCATGAAACAGTGATGAAGAAAGACATCTCCATGTCGGAATTATAAGTACACGTGCTCTGTCTGGACCCTATTTCACGATGTCGACATATGTCACAAAAAAGACAGTCATTTTGTTACAATTGTGTACTTCAACGACAATTATGTTGTGAACAGTGGCGGCGCAAGACCTAAACTTAATGTGGGTAAGGTATATTTCGCGAACAGCCAAGTGCGAGTCGCACTCGCGCATGAACGAATGTAATTTTTTGAACATTCGCGAATGCGAATGTGAATGCGAATATCTGGTACCGACATTGCGAATATTTAAGTGTCATTCCGCTCGCACCTTTTATAAACAAAACAAGTTCATTTTAAGGTTAGAATTTGAATAGTGATTTATTATAACAGAAGTAAATCAAATTCTAAGGAAATATGGACTTATTTAACGCTTTGTGATGTTGAACGAGCTAAATGCAAGCTGTGTCACAATGAATATTCAAGGAAAGGAAGTACTACAACTGCTATGTGAAATCATTTGAAGGCAATGCATAAAACCGAGTTTTCCGATTTTTTTTAGTTTTGTCAAAGAAGATGATTAATATAACATTAAAATATGCATAATAGAAGAGCTTTTTTGTTTGCTCTCATTGCATTATTTATTTTGTTTTTTAAGTTCTAATAAAAAAATAATTGTTAAGCTTCATTTCCTTAGGTAAATAAATAAAAAATAATGCCAAATGCTAAAGTCAAAACCAATAATGTGATTACGAGGTTAAGTTAAATTTTCTTGCATTAAAAACATAAGAAATGAATAGATTTTGATTTTATGAACATAAATATTATTAAATAAAACTAGTTTTTACGGGTTAATGCACGAAACTTTATTTATTTATTGACGTTTCGTAGCCTTTACAGGCTACGTCGTCAGAATAAAACTTTTATTTAATTTGTCGAGCTACCTTCGAAAACTACCTTTCGATGAGTGATGTGCGTGAAAACCTAAGAAACAAATAAATTATTATCTTCAAATTGTCTTTTTCTAATATTCATATTCGCAAAACATTCGCAGAGATTTTGCGAATGCGAATATTCGTTACGTCACTATTATCTATACAACATGAGACACTTTAGTATAATATCGAGTAAAATCGGTGAAAAAATCACTTTTGTTATATAGGAACCCACCCTCTTTAAATATTTAATTTATTTAAATTTAATTATTTATTTTTAATGTTTTTATACAAATAAATATTTAAAACGTCTTAAGTACCAATTTCCGTTATTAATATAAAACAAAAATATCACGTTTGTCGTATGGTAATAAATATTGATTTTAGTATTTTTTTAGGGTTCCGTAGTTCTAACAAGGTACCCTTATAGTTTTATCATGACCGTCTTTCATTATCATGAGTTTTATATTGTCACTAGAAAGATGTAATTTTGTGGAGCTATATATAGGGTGAAATTGAATGTTTTAATGAAACTTCGTGAGATTGTTGGGTTACGTGAAAAGAGTATGCCTGATTTTTTTCGGATTTTTTTGAAGTATTTTTTTTCATGTTTTTATTTATAATTTGTGTATTTTTATGTCATTTCCTCCTTTTGAGTAGTTATTCATTTTGCCTTGTGGCTCTGCTGAGTATACCGTGACACTACAATAACAACACACCATATCCAACTTCTTATATTGAGGCCACAGAACAAGAACTAATCATGGCGTTATTTGCAAATCTTCTCTTGTCCCAAATTTAAAAGATACGCACGCGCGGTGGATAAACTTGACACTGCGCTCGCTCACTGCGCTTTGCACCGCGCATAGATAGGTATTCAACCGATTCAACGGCGGGAGCGGTCATTGCTCCCGACCGCTCGTCTTCTGTTTTTACGTTTTTTTAGTAGTGCTAATTAGTTGTTTTTTACTTACTCTGTATGAGTGTTTAAAAAGAATAATTATATGTACCCAAAAGGAGATTAAAATATAACAAAAAAAAAAACGAAATTTTATTTTAAATCATTTTTAAAAAATCCGAAAAAATTCAGAGATACTCTATATACGTAACCCAATAATCCCACGAAGTTTCATTGAAACATTCAATTTCACCCTGTATATAAGTCGGGCAGATAAAGTGGATCGTAAAATAGGGATGATTTTTTTATCGTTTACCCCATTGAGTGAGGTATGGTTTAATAGGTCCTTTAAAATGACTTAGGGGTTATTAAGGCAATTTTTCGATGTAGTTCGTTTGCGTTTGCTCCTATTACGACAATATATAAGAAAAAGCAGCTTAATACTCACTTGTACTTCAATGAATTTCTTAAATAATATTCCGCTTCTTGGAATTTCCTCTGGTACTTGAGCAGATTGGCCAGATTGTTCATTGCTTGATAATACTCAGGATACAACCTGGAAATATTCAAAGTTAAATATTTTTAAATAATATGAACCTTTGTTAAATAATATTCCTTTTAGCAATTTTAATGGGACTGAAGCTTACCTAATAGCTTCGTTGTATGAAGTAAGTGCAGCATCAGTTTTATTTAGAGCATCACTTACTTTTGCTACATTGTAGTGGACTTTAGCATTTAATGGACACACTGACATACCGCTAGCAAACAAACGATATTCATTTTGCCAGTCATGCGACCTTTGCCAACTTCTCCAGCCATAAATTGATATTAAAAAAACATATAACATTAGTCCCAGCTGAAATAAAAATAGATGGACCACTAAGCGGATTTTTTTATCGCTAATATTACTAATAATATAAAAGAATGTCCCACCAAAATTCTTCAATTGTTACAGTTAATAAAGACTATCTTTATACTGTAACCATTAAAAAAAATGGATTTGATTTCCATAACTATAATTTTATTTAGTTTTTTTTGCCTTGTTATGGATAGATAGCTGTTTTATTGTCATGTTAACTTATGTTATATTGAACATGACACATTATAGGTACAAGTCCGAACTGAGCCGCAGGCCGCAGCTGCAGACTGCAGGCGACACTACTAGTTTCTATGAATCTCTATGAATTGATTCCGAGCGCGGCGACATTGCGGCCTGCAGCCGCGGCGCGTAGCCTGCGGCTGCGGCGTGCAGCGACCGCAGACTGCAGTTCCAGTGGTGTCGCCAACCGCAGAGAGGTCACACCAAAGATTTGAATCGCTAGATAGTTTGACCGCACCGCAATCTGTCAATATTCGAATAAGCTAACTCCCATATTTTTCCAACTCACATTTTTTGCAAGAGAAGTGTATTTTAATATCGTCGTGTGCCTTCCGAAAGTGCTCTAACAATTTCAGAAATACAAATAAAGCTAATGGTGTAACATTTCACTCGTAAGTTTTTAAATTTCATTTTTATTAAATTTATTTTCTTTCGTTGTCATCAATATTGAAATCTGTTGAAAAAAAAAGTAGTGTTGGAAAATATTGCTAGACAAAAAAAGACAACGCTATACTCTCGGTAATCGAAGCTATTGGAGTGACTGAGGCATGGTTATACGCATTGTGCAGCCGCGGCATGTCGCCGCGCTCGGAATAGAAGCTGCCGCGACCGCAGGCAGAACTACGGTCAGCCGCAGTGTCGCCTGCGGTAGTCGTCTGCAGCCCATTGCAGAATTGTACCTTAATACATATACAAAATACATACTTTACGTTTATTCTTCTTAGCTATTATTTTGTTTAAGCCAAGAACTATTATCAAGCAGTAGCCAGCAGATGGAATATACAGGACTCTTTCAGCTATCACAAAACCAACTGGATAAAATATATTAGCTGCTGGTAAAAATGGTATCACCATTAATGCCACACTCAGTGAAAGTATCCTGAAAGAAACAAATAATGTTAAAACTGTAGTTTCAACACTAATAAATAAATAATAAAAAAAATTGTGCATGTTATCCAGATTCAATGGAAAGTATTTAACTGAGTTCTATTGTGTAGGGGCATAGGCGTATATAGCGTGGGGGGGCTGGGTGGGCCGTGTACACCTGATGTGAAAGCAACAGCAGGAAAGCGAGTCATAATTGCTCTAAAGTAAAAATTATAAACTTTGAGGGCTTTATTTCAGAAACTATTCAGATTATAGATACATTTATAGTCTCATATTGTAGTAAATTTGTCTATTTTAAAAAGGGTTTAAATAAGTACTATCAAAAACAAGCCTTTTAGGGTTACAATCACCAAAGGCTGAAAAAAAGCAGTTTTTTTTCAGATTTTTGACAAAGTTACGTTCGGCAATCGAGGTCACCAACTTGGATTATTCATTGGGCCAACATCATACATAAGTCTGCAAAAAATTGGGGTTAAAATCACCAAAGCAAAAGACAAAATTTTCGCAGTTTTTTTAAAATTTTCACATAGATGCGTTTGGTGCTCGAGGTCACAAAATTGGATTAGTCATTGGGCAATCATCATGCAAAAAAATTGGAACTACCGGATAAATGTGTTTAATGTATATGATACGTTATTTACGAGTAATGTATATGATACTAATCACACCTACTCACTGACTGTAGATACATCGAGTGTCGACTCTGCATCATCATATCCGCCATGGCATGTAAAGGGCCAGCCCCCCAAAATATCCCTAGATACGCCAATAGGTAGGGGAATAGAGTACATTCCAGCAAGGAATGTTAGAACTATGTATGTTTAAAACCACAGTAGAGGGAAGTTGCATCAAAAGGAATGAAATAATTAGCTCTGTCAAAAATAGGTATTTAAAAACATGCTTTAATAATGATTTATTATTGCTACATATTTTAATTATTATGTATTTACCGTCTTGTTGAAGTTTTGTTTTGTTTACAAATAATTGCTTTGATGATAAATATTCCATATAAATACATGGAAATAGGATATATTATTCTATGATCTAAGACACTTTTGATTAGTGGTACACATCCCATTGACCAGTCATAACATAACCACTGAGGCCAGATAAACAGCAGTGTATTTAGAAAGTAAACATAGCTGTGTGTAACAATCTGAAACATACATTTTGAAAATAGTCTAAATATTTAAATATGCACAGAGATTAAGAAAGTAAGTATTAAATAATACTATTTGTTGTTGCTTCTTTCATGGTCTTTTTTAGAAAAAATACCTTAGTGAAGGTTTCTGCAAAAGCGGCAGGATTGTCTATAGCCTTAAATTCGGGTTTTGTGGCACCCATTACTGTCCACCTCCCATATAAGGTTAGAATAATAGCCAATATTGTTACAGTGATCCTCTTGATACAAGATCTATTGTAAAGATTACAAAATTTTTGACACTTTCTCTTAATACTTATTTTTAGAATCATATCATAAAATATACAAAAGCCCTGTAATAAAAGAATAAAACTTTGCGTTAAAATTACCTTCATAAATATGTAAACTTCTATACAAAATATATCTCACCAATACTGTGATTCCATTTTCCTTACATAACATAGAGATAGCTGATAAAATTATAGTCACAAATAGGAAAAGATTATGATGGTATTGGCTGTTTATGGCTTTATGATAAAAAATAAAAGCCAAAAAGAATGTAGCACCACTCAACAGATCTGCTCTTCCAACTATACCACTGATGGCTTCAACATGTATTGGATGTACAGCAAATAAGAGAGCAGCAAAATAACCTATGTCAATTTTGTACTGCTTAATTTTTTTAACATTTATCAGAATGTTATAAACAAGCCTCACTAATACTGTACACAAGATGTGACACAACAGATTTGTTGCTTTGAATGTGTATACTGATAATTCCTTGTTGCTCATGAAGTAGTTCAATCTGAAATATATATATTTTATGAACAAATAAAAATAATAATATTAAATTAAATAAAAAATAAAGTACCTACTCAGTAAATAAAACACTAAGTTTTTATATTTATTTTTTGCAAAAATGCAGCTTTATTTTTATTTGGTCCTACTTAGATTAATATTTTCATAATTAGTAAGAGTGATGGTTGTCCTCATACCTGAATGATAAAATAGTGAAAGGTCTGTAGGATTTGTGGCTAAGGTTGCTTTTTATATTGGTTCCCCAAAAGTCATTGTAGAAGCAATCAATCCAGGACTCGGAAATGATATCCTTATTTTTAACGATTGCTTCTGAATCGTCGAAAACAAAGTCTCCGTTCAAAGTGAATAAATATGGCAAAGCTGAGAGAAACACAAGGCTTGCCCACTTATATAAAAGGCCAGTCATTGTGACAATTTTAATTACATATTAGAGAACTTGTTTTTATACAAAATTTTGTATTTTTAGAAGATTTTGTTAGCCATCGTTTAATTCCATATTTTTGATTTGGGTTTGTCAGTCTGACATTGACTTTCAGTGTGACCAGATTGAATTTTACGAAAATACCGAGGCACCTCAAAAAAATACTGAAATATACCGACTTACATAGGACAGATATACCAATAGAAATACTGATTTTCTTAACACATTTTATTTATTCATACGTACTCACAATAAATGTTAGAGTTATATTTTAACATCCTTTTCGAAGGATTAAAATTTACACAACCTCCTTTATTTCTTCACGCTCTATCTAATAGTGCAAACCGCATTAAAATCGGTCCAGCAGTTGTAAAGTTTTAGGCGAACATACATTCTGCAAGTCTGATTAATACTATGTATTGATAATTGTATATGTAGTATTACAATACTACAACGCCGACAACGGCCGTCTTTCTTGTCATATCTGTAACTTACTCATAGATAACATGTTTAGGTATAGGTAAACTAAATCCGGGGAAGTCCACAATGTTCGCGTTCCGGGGAATTCCGCAAACATTGTCGCAAAGACGATCACTCACTACGGTGTTGCCATAACTTCTACCAAAATATACCCAAAAATTCTGACTGCCAGCAATATACCTGAAAATATACTGATGTTCGAAAAAATCGATGAAATATACTGAAAAAGTATTAAAATACTGAATCTGGTCACACTGTTGACTTTATTTTTCTTATTTTTTTTAAGTTGAAAGCACAGATACCTAGAGAAACAGCCTACATTAGTACTTTTTTTCTAATGAGAATAATTTCGAAGTCATCAAATCAACTCAAAACCTCGTATATAGTATAGTATTTCAATAAGATTTTTCATCAATATAATCATCATAATCAGAATCTTTATTAGCTAAAAACACGGTATACAGGTACCTTTGTTCCCAACGAGTCTCACTGTAACCTGTTACACTGGTTGCTTTCCAATTACAGAGCATAATGCGACTCAGTGCCGCACAATGCTGAATTATGCTGATGCTTAATTGGAACGTGAATTAGTTTTCAAATGCACCAGCAGAGTGCGCTAAGTTCAGTGTTGAAAAAAAAGTCAATGTTTGTACCTTCATCCATACTTATTTTTATTTTTTAACAGTTTGAATGAACTTTGATTATTTAAAAAAACTATTTAATGAAACGAAAGCTTTAATAATTCTAAAGAAAATATAACTAGAAAAAATTCACTAATTTTTCAACAATAAATAATATTACTAACGATAACATATAAATAAAACATTTCGATCAATGCCAACTTAAAGAAAAAACACTTGTTAATTTTCTGTCTCTAAGTTGGTACGATTGCACGCATCACACGAAAGCATCACTTTTGAGAGTGCTCAATTGTGCGAAGCGTTGCTGTAGTTGGAACACTCAACGTTAAGCATTATGCCGCATAATGCGCTATAATGCTGTAATTGGAAAGCAATCCAATTAAGCATTAGCATAATTCGGCATTGTGCGCCACTGCTCATTCTCATTATGCTCTGTAATTGGAAAACCACCGGATTGAGCACGTGTTTTGACATATTAAAAATAGCATGCATATACTTATGGAACAAATAAAAAAAAAACTTATTAAATTTATCTACAAAATTATGAATGCCAGAGTTACTTAATATTATGTCAATAAAATATATAATGGTGCCGATTCTGGCGTGATTCTCTAAACTTAAAACTAAATTTAACATTAGTCTCTCCTTTTCATCCTGTATAGAGAATGACAAGGATATATTGCTGTCCAATTTCAGTTTAGGTTTAGAGAATCATGCTAGAATCGACACCACTGTGAACATACTAATTTACAAGGTTTCCAAACGTCATATAAAAAAGAAAATACATTTGTCATAATTGAGGAGCTGGCGAACAAAACGGTATAATTACGCATCTGGTCAAACTGCTTTATTTTACAGTCCGTAGGTTACGGTCCCGATGAATTTGAATCTCAAATAATTTTCAATAGAACAGTGTCAAAATTACAAAATTTATAAATTAACAACCATGCCAAGAGCTCATTGGAGGCACGGACCTGAAAAAAAGACGGACGTAACCTCGTCTTATCTCGAGTGAAGCATGCAAATGGCCGCCCGCTTACAGCGTGTGCGTGATTTGAGGGTTGTCGGGTAAATCATCAATTTCCCTACTTTTTAAATCTCCCAAACTAAAACATTGTTAACATTATGTACTCAAATATATATTATTTTACTCGTTGTGAGCTCCCGATTTTTCAGCAATTTAAACGGTTGCACTTCAGAAACATGATGTAGGTCTATCAAATTAAATTTAAGAACACCGAGATAGAAAAGAAAGCTATGTATAAAGAACTTTATTGTTTACATATAAATGTTAGTGTCTTAATATTAAGTATGAGGTTAATAACATACATTAATATACATAAATCGCGCAGATTAATGCTTAAAATAAAAATATAATAGACTAATATTGCTATTTCTTCTTTTAAATGTAAAGTATTTCATTCATAGATTGAGTAGGTATTTATAGACCGACAGAGTGAGGAAAAGAGATATCATGCTAATCCTATAGTATAAGTTTGAGCAGGTTGCCTGGTGCCACTATGGCCACCCTGCTTTAACTACACTGTTTATTTCTCGCACTTGTTTTCCGAGTCTGAATCTGATTCTGAACCTGCGTGCACTGTCGCCGTACCCTATCTATGTATATAAAACTCAAAGGTGACTGACTGAATGACATAGTGATCTATGAACGCACAGCCCAAACCACTGGACGGATCGAGCTGAAATTTGGCATGCAGGTAGACAGTGGCGGCGCTACACCACATGTGGACGTCGGCAACATCAAGTTCGCGAGGCCTATTTTAATTCGCAGTAAAAAACCGTTAAATTAAGTGAGCCTAATTATAAAATAACGTATGAGTAAACGATTTTTATTGTTGATAATCAAATGATGACAAAAAATAATTACAAACATAAAAATTTAATTACAAAAATAGTGTTGTCAGACAGACGATTCTGAATACCCGTAAAGTACTACTCGCTTCCATCACGCACGTGTTCGAAAATAATAAAAGTCATAATCATCTGCTTAGCTTTTCCTCGAATTGTTCGGGGTCGGCTACCTAAGCCAGGCCAGGAGAAACGAAAATAAATAGGTAACTTGTAAAAATTTTTTGCGAGGCCCCCTCAGGCGCGAGCCCGTCGGCGGTGGCCGACGTCGCCGACGCCTAGCGCCGCCACTGAGATGTTATGACGTAGGCATCCACTAAGAAAGGATTTTGATCAATTCGGGTAGAATTGATCAAAAAGGGGATAAAATAGGGAATGAAAGTTTGTATATATTAAATCGATCGGGCTGAAACTTTGCATGCAGGTATAAGAAGAATCATCGATGAATGTCATTGTGTATAATACAACACTTTAGCTCTACACCGAAGCGAAGCGAGGGCGAGCCGCTAGTTTTTAATATTTTTATACATTTTCCGCCGTTTCGGATTCTTTACAGGCTCCGGTTTGAACGAAAACCAAAAAACGTGTGCACTGCACACAGTATTGGAAGGTGATAAGTTCCAATTGTTATCCCCTTTGTAGTATCGAATAATTAAAACCCAGTCATCTCTACGGTTTCTATTTCTAGGAAACCTATTAGAAAGGAGGCATGACAATAAAAAATATTCTATGAATAATATGGCTTCTATTCTTTTCCTTTTGGGATACGGAACCCTAAAAAGTTACGAAATCTGATCTTGCCTAGCCACAAATGCAAGAAATACAAAATTGCCTACTTTTAGGGAAAATTTCCCGTAAATAAAGTAGCCACACAGTTGTATTTTTGTTTACAATTTCCATCCTTGTAAATAAAATATAATATGGAAAATTATCAAGAATCGTCAATACTTCAGCATTTTAGGTGATTCCTTGTGTCTTTTCAAATTAACTCGTGTAGTTTTTACAATATTTCACCACACGAGACGGCATTTTTAAAAAAAATATCGGAGCAATTGAACATGTGACTGGCGCTGTCACGCGGGGTCAAATGGCAGCGGATTGTCCGACCTGGTGCATTAGTGTGAGTGTAAGGAGTGTACAACACACGATTTTGTCTGACCTTGCATGCTTCACATGATTTGCCTTTGATATTACGTCCGTCTTTTTTTCAGGTCCGTGATTGGAGGTATGTCATTCAGTTTTATACAACTCCTGTAAAGGAGATTGCTCAAATTGGCCCAAATGCACAACAAATATTGACATACATGGTAATTCTTGGCGTAATTTATAATTTAATTTACAATCATTAGATTTCAACGGACACCTTTGTATAATATATTAACTTTAAAAAAGACTTTTAATTTTACCGGTTTGGAAAACATACGGATCATTTTTAAATGGCTATGGGTGTAGTAACATTCAGCCAAAGACTGATCGAAGTTGTTTATATAACATAAAAACAAATATTTTATTTTATTACACTATGGTATTATTATCCACAAATGTGCTCAGACAATTATTATAGATGGTAGGCGA